ATTCGGGTGAATCTGCATTTTTCAAGTATGGCATTTTTCTGCAGCTGGCAAACTCTCAAAGCCAAAAGAGCTGCACACAAAATCAAGGGATGGTATGACAGAACAAGTCAAGATATTGTCCAGAATTGTGGTAATGGTCACAACGAACTGAGATTTATAAATGTTTATTAGTTAAACAGCACTCCTGGAAAAATGAATGCCGCTCACACTCTCCTCCTTGGAACAGCTCATGATCTGGGTCGGGGTGTGATAACATGGATCTAGCTGGACTGTGTGCATTATGTGATTTCCAGCACAGCTCCAAAACACAGGAATAACGATGGGATAACATTTCTAATGCTTTACTACGACTGCTGCTAGGTTATTTAATAATATCAAAATACGTTGCATCAGCACTTAGATTGCTTTTAACAATTAAAGAGTTTGTTTTCCTAACAATATCACTATAAAACTAAGATCTTTCAATAGGTTCTTAACACTCACTGGACAATTTTTACTGCAAGTCATCTCAACTAATGTGACAAAGAGGATGTGGGAACCTTCCAGTAGTCCAGGCTAGGAACCGCCGGACTCCTTCACCTGGGACAAAATTAAGCAGATCTCTCTTTCCACTGAAGCCCAGCATATAGTGTCCAGGGCCTCCAGTTCTAGAGCTGCTGACCAGGTACAGTGTCTGCCACAAATAACACGCACACAGAGGCAAATAGGAAATTCACCCAGGGACTTTGTTCAAACAAAAGAGACCTGCAACACTGGAGATGAAAGAATAAGGGCTGCAGAAGAGGGGAAGCAGTCACTCTTGGGTTTGCCTGCACTGCCTGCTGCAGGTGGTGTCAGAAGTCCTCACGAAGCAGGTAATGTCTAGTTCGGCAATACTTGAGGCTTACGCAGGCATCTTTGGCCACAGATAAATCAGCCCTGGTATTTCTGGGGAATTGCCACCATTCTCGCCTTCTGGCTAAAACTATGTGACAAAACCAGTTTAAATTCAGCCAAAATAAAAGCTACAATTTTTAATTTTTGTTTTGTTTTCCTTTGGAGGTATGTAACCAACCAACAAATCAACCCAAGAATTGTACCAATGCCAGAGGGCAGCCGCCTCATCTGTGGCAAGAGTGGCCACTCCGAAGAACATCTTCGGTACAGAATATGGCCCAATCTGTGTCCTCAAGGTAATTTATTTATTTATGTATATTTATATATAACATAAAAATGGGGAGTTCAAACCAGTGCCAAATAAAATGGGGCCTTCTTAAAGGCACTGAATATCTGACCCATTCTGACCCATGGGAAAATATGCAAAATAAACACCCCTTGAGTGTAGTAATTAGTATCTTCCAACTTGATTAGGTAATAATCAGGGCCCTTGGATAAAAAGGCTGTCTTTGTAATATTGATGGGTTGGTGAAATATCCAAGTACAATTTCTGCAGCCCTCCCTTTTCCTCAGTGTTGCAGGTTAACATATTTGAAGAAATAAAAACTATATGTTTGAATGGTAACTTAAAACCAACACCCACAACTTTTAAAAATTATTTTAAGTAACTTTTGCTGTTTGCTCAGCATAAGAAGGTAATACCTGGCTATGTTTTAATAAGATGGCTATTCCAGAAGTGAGTGGCCAGTGTGATTGGAGTTGGATGCACTGAACGTCCATGGAAAGACTCCCTGTCTTTTTCCCTGAGCAGCAAATCACGCCTGCCGTGAGCAGAAGCAGCAGCAGTACCTTGCACTGGGCCAGGACAGGGTTTGTCTTACATTTCTCCAGAGAGATGCTTCTCTTTCCTGGAGCACATGATTCACTTCCTTATTTCTGGCCTTGCTGAGCAAGGCTGTTCAGCCTTTGCATTTACGTTCTTATGGTCAGTCAAAAATACCAGAAAATACTGTTCCTCCGTGCTAACGGTTGTCCCGTGGACAGTGACATATTTGTTGGATGTGAGCTTCTTTTGCTGTGTCCTACACCTGTTTTTAGTAGTGATTTAGAACTACTGGATATATTTAAATGCATGGAAGTGAATGAAAATGCATTTTTGAAGAGATACCAAACACCATGCTTCAGGGGTCAGGCATATCTCTGAGCTGTTAATGACTGGAAATTATTTAGGTGGAGAACAGATTATTCCAGATCTGCCTACAGCAAGTTTCTTAACGCTTTAGTGCGAAACAACAGGCACAGATCACTGAGATCGCTGTCAGAGGGGGGCTACTGGACCAGCCTCCAGCAGGCCAGTACAGCACTCCAGCAGCATGGCTGAACTGCGTGCCAGATGCAGCAGCAGTACCTGGAACACACACGTGTACCTTTTTTTTAACTGCAAGCTCACAGCAGGTATTACGCTATGTATTTTCCAACTATAATTTCAAATATTCTGTGATTGTAAAGTGACCTACGAAGAGCCTTGTCAGTGCTCCAACAAGGCACATCTCTAGTCCTGTTAAATTTGTGCCATTATATGAGGGTTTTGCCCCTTAAAGAGTATTATAAACAAAATCCATGCAATTCTGGCTACAGGTTTGCATTACTGAAGTCCTGGACATCCTGAACATGCCACTGGTTTTTTTTTGCAGTTACAGTGAAAGGTGCAAACCCTGTCAGGGTTGTCTACTGGAATATCACTAAGCGATTATTTTCTGCTTCGTCAGCTATGGCCAGATTTCAAAAGGAGGTCCGTCTTGGGGAGCACCCAGCGTATCCCAGATACCCAGTGTTACACCACCAGCCACCATTTTCAGGATACTTTAGCAACAGTCTTGACCGTCACATCTAGAATAGCCACAATTAATCAGAAATTTTGCTGGCAAACCCAATCAGTTTGGAAGCAGAGTTCTGACAAGGATACATGCCAAGCATTGACATTTTATGTAACTTTCAAAACAACAGCAACAACACAAGTATTCACACCAAGCAACATAGTATTATTTTAAGAACAGATAATGCAAAAAGTTTAATTTGTTCAGAAATCTGCACTTGTCTCTGCACTGTTACTCTGCT